TGTGAGATAGTAATAATGCTGGAGATTTGATGAAGGTGTGATTCTTCAAAGTGTTTCTTGCTTAAACCTATTGTTATATTTAGTGTAAAGCTTTGTTCCTATTCCAGATATCAAGTCCTGCCTATGCTTTCACAATTCAGTTCTTAACTACCACTACGTAAATGATCAGATCTTCATTGGCTCTGATATGGGTTATGTTAAAATATTTGAAGCTTCTAAAAATATCTCTTACACTACTTGGGAAGAGCTTTCCTTTTATCATCCTATTTGCAGGCTGGATTTGTAGGTCTGATTAACATTTGTATATCATCTACATTTATGATCAGTCTTGTTGATCTTTTGTCCAGGCTCTTAACATTAGTGAATTTCAAGGAACGTTGACATTAGATATAAGGTAATAGCTTTCTGAGAATTCAGTAAAGTTCAGATCTTATTAACAGCTCAAATCCTTAGTAATTTGACGGTTTACCTTCACTTTCACTAGCTGATTTCAATTTTGTAAAATCCTCTGTTTACCGTATTAAAGTGAACAAATAATCAATGTTGACAGTGATGGATAGCAAAAAACTAGCGTACAAAATGCCTAAACTCTCTGTAGTCTCGGTTTCAAATTTATAGTTATTGTGGTCATTTGATTGCATTCTCTAAAGTAACATCACATAAATACTCTAATAGGATTTGTGCATGTGAGTGTAATTTTATATTATTATTCAATAAAAATGTTAATGTTTCCTTTTTTACCCAAACTTTCCAAGTTGAGATGTAAACTAATTTATTTAATTTCAGCACCTCAGGGTTTTACAAATATGGTGTGGAATATTTTGGGGCAGACAAATTAACTAAGTTGATACTTCTTCAGTCACACTCAGTACATTATAGTATTGTCAGACCTGGACACCATATACTCTGCAAAGAAAAGACTGAACAGTTAGCACCATTGCTATCTCAGTCATAACTTCAGTAGGGCAAGGGGTATGCTAACAGGAATCGTAGATACATTCTAATTTCATTGGCTTACATTCAATGCTAAGCCAATGATGTCAGCACTGCCTTGGCCATATTGATGAGGTGGGTGATGGTTATGTACTGAGAGACCTACCATGTGGTGAACTGGTCAGTGGGCCCAGAGAAAACAGAGCCCAGCAAAAACTCCACCTTTCCCGATGTCGTCTTCTGCAACAAATGCTGCAGAAAATATGCACCAAGACACATCTTGTTTTACACACAGTTGACCACCACTGCACAAACAATCATCTTGTGAGATAAGGCTGTCAAAGATACTAATTTTTCGTATAACCTTGCATAAAGTCACAATGGTGAATTATTTTACCTAGCACTAGTCTCCTTCGCAGAAAACTTCATACTGAACAAAATGATGTACAAATTGCTGAACGTTATTTGGCATCAAATCAATGTGCCACATTCAAATACATGTTCCTTACCAAATGATCCTCTAACCTTGGATCAAAAGTATCTGTCACCCTTCCCAGCTGATGCTAAAATCTATTAGAAGGCGTACGTTCGACTTCCAGTCTGTCATTCCCAAATTTGTGCTGTACGTAACGTTTTCAGTGAGCATTCGAATCATTTGCATGTTAAAAATGGGAATAAGTAATTAAATATATTCCTTTAAAGCCAACACATAAACTACATCCAGGAGTGCTGTATCCAATCATTCTGTGTATAGAAACTGAATGATTTCACATGTAGTATAGAGCTAAGATAATGTATTTATGCTTGTGCTATCATCTCAGCTATCCCAACAGCGCTTTTTAGAAACCATGCATCTTTTATGGAATAACTATTAGTTTAATTGTACATACAGCATCAGCTGAGCTGTAATGTTTTTGACTTAGATGTTAAGTCAGGCACGTCTGATGTACACCCACAGCAGCACGTGCATCTTTTTATTTTACAGTGCCTTAAATTACACTGGCATAAATTATGCTTTAAAAAGCCAAAAATCCTCATTTGCAAATCATCGTCATATGACAAGCAGAAGATTACCCTTTTAATGCATTCCTAGAGTTTCTAAAATTAACACATAGAGCTGTTTGTTGAATTGCAGACTACAAAGCATTGTGTGCAATAGGTAGTATGTATTTGAACAGGTGTATTGTAAAGATAGGCACCTCAATCAAGTAATCAGTTTTGAATGCAGCTCATAGAAGGCAATTAATTGTGTCTGTTAACATTTTTTCATAGAATTTTAAACAAGATATAATAAAGGCTAATTTGTTGTAGAGCAAAAATTATAATAACACAACAATTGCTGCTCGTCAACCTGTTAAAATAATTTGTGGCATAAGAGCATAAGAGCAGAATGCAGCCAAATATATTCTTCAAATCTGCGATATCCATTTTGAGTAGTTTATGTATCAACTTAAGTTTGATTAATTGTTACTTCTAAATCATTTTATGATATAGCCATTTTTAAAGGTAATGTTTAAAAATCGCCAAAATAACTAATTATAGTGAAAAATTAAATGGCTTTCAAGAAGATATTGCAATTAAGTACAAATGACTGAAATTGTTCCTAATTTAATATATTTCAAAATAATTAAAAAATTTTAATTTTGGAATGTAATGCTTTATATTTGCTATATAATGTCTTTGCTAGAAAATGCCAACAGTATAATTAGTTCGGAGTAGCTCAACTTGTGTGAACTTAAATTTAATTATCTTCCAAGATTAATTATTTGTATTGGCTGGATGATATCATGAATATGTTCCTTTATATGTGCTGTGGTGCATACTTTAATGTTTAGGATAACTACATGAACATTGTAGGTAATTTGAGTTACTAAAAAAAGTTTGTGCACTCTCCAACAACAAAATTTCATTAATGAAAACAAAGAATGAATCTGAAACAGCAGTAAAGAATGCAAAATATAACATGAAAATGCATTTAGCTCCAAAGATAGTTTAATAATATTTAAATGCAAAATGTAACAGTAAATATAGCATGGAGTTTATGATACTTAAATTACTATTATCTATCTCAGAAAACAAAACAAAAACAGATTATGGTAGAAATATTATACATTTAGTTTAATTATTATTTAGTATATTGTAAAGGAATTGATGTAATGTTAAGAATAACTTTAATTAGGGGGTTAAAGAGAATGACAAAAATGATGGCTATTCATGGAATCTTAATTGAAGCAATGCTTATTCTAATTTATAGCTGAGATTGCACACACAAGCTCTGCCTCTCTGTAAACTGCACATTCAAACCAAAACATTTTTGTTTTCTTCAAAGATTAACCAAAAGAATCAATTATAAAATGCTACTGATCTTCCTGCTCTACTTAATTCTCAATACTGTAATAATTCCAAATATTTGTAATAGAACATTTAGGTACCCTTTAGAAACTTGTCTAGTTCTAAAATTAGTTTCCTCTTCCAGTAGGCATATTTATACTTAAAATGCATAAGGTTACTTGTGATTGTTATGTTTTACATTTAGTTCAAATTTGGCTTAATTTTCAGGGTTTTTTGGGGAAGTATATGGTTTATCTCTGTGTTTCAAACTGTACCTTTAGTAATTTGAAGAAGTAAAAGTCATAGTTAGTATTAGGTCATCTCTGCTTCTCAAGTGGCTTGTTTTAGCAATTACTTTCTGCATTAATTATGGTATTTGTTTAAGTAATCTTTACAAAGCATTTGCGTGATGAAAGAATGAACGTGCATGGCAATGTATAATTTCACTTCTCTCAGGAATACCTATAAATGTTTACAACTATTCAGTTAAAAGTGTAATTGTGCACTTGGCAAGCAGAAATGTTACCTTTTGAGTTTTCATTGAGAATAATTAAATCTTGAATATCTTACTGCATGTTGGATTGTGACAATGTGCTAACAATCCACCTTCTTCTTAACATCAGGTCAATTATTTGCTGAGTGGGATTTTTATAAATCTCGTGGCAGTTGCATGTCTTGATAATTATGATGAAGTATGTTGGTCAGTGTTGATTCAGCAATCCTATCTCTGGCAAATACTTCATTCACTGATCTCCTTCATGCACTTCTTTACGGTCATTAAACTTCTTGTGCCTTTTCTTGCCATCCCCTGTGGCCCTAATTATAAAAGGCCTATATGAAAAACATCTAGATTGGGGAGGAAGCTGACTGATGGATTGATAGCTCTGCAAAAGAGTCCAGACTTTAAATGCTATTCAGTGGATGACTAGCCAACAAAAGGCACGTTTGCAGATATGCTTGACCTGCTGCAATTAATATTCTAGTTCATGCATGAATTCCTCTGATGGAGGGGGACTTAAAGTGCCAAAAGTGTGTCTCCTGCATAACTCATTTTCTCTTTCATGACAATCAGAATTTTATACTTAAAAATATCAGTGTTTTCACAGCTCATTTGCCCCACTGTGTGATCAGTACACTAGCCAGAAGTAGAACTTGATGCAGAGAGGTCAGAAGGAAGCTATTAACAGGGTCGCTCCTGAGAATTCAACAGCTTTATTGAGTTCAGTTTTAGCTTGAATGTACAGCATGAACCCAGGTGTGTTTTTTTTAAAACAGCAAGTGCAGATTTCCCCAAAGTCTTTATCGGTTTAGAAAATTGCCAAAGAAAATAGATTCCCAGGCCACTGCTGGCAAAAGGCTGCTCAAGTTTGTGACAAAACTTGAATGGTTATGAAGAAGAAATATGTGACTTGCGCACAAGCATTTAGCGTATGGTGCTTTAGAATTTTGGCACAAATCTGTAATTTCTTCTGATTGATTAAATTTGATGCGAGGTTGTTATATGCCATTCAGAGTTTGTACAAGTAATAGTTTAATGCCAAATATAGTTGCATTTTCATTGCTCCAATGTATTTATGGAACTATTTATTGGTACATTAGTTCATGAACTACATCTAACCATGATTAGCGTAAGTTGTACAGTTTGTTTTCATTTTCGGGTTGTTGCAAGTTTTAAGTTTAAATTTTTGTGCATTGCTTCATAGCTGGGAGTTAATATGTGTTACCTTTCTCCCTAGCTTCCAGGTATATATAACTCTCCATATTTGCTGTGCCAAAATGAGATGGAGTGCAGGTTGCAACAAGTCAGGCCATTGACTCCCAATGCATCTCGGAAAAAGGACATCACTGAGGGTCTTGTGGATCCATCAATACCTGAAATTCCATGCACCTCTCCTCAGTTAGGGCTACTGCCACCTGTAGGCAGGAAGAAACCACAGGTATGTTCTTTTTGTCCTGGAGCAGTGTTGACTTTTTTTTATTAAAAAGGGTTATTTTTGTTTTGTTTTTCTTCCAGTTAATGTCACAAATGGTTCTCAATTGATCATAATACACACAATCACAGATTTATGCAACATTAATGATTCATAGAAAGCCCCCACATCATCATTGCTTATATTAATGTTAAATGTAATTGTAAGAACAAAATAGAGGTAAATTTGATGTTAGGTATTTTATACTCCTACGCGATAATAGTAAGTCAAAGAAATATGAATTATTGACAGAAAACATGTTGCAATTCCTTCTTTGGTTTTGCATCATTGCCATGATTCACTTTAAAGCTCATTCTATTGTTCTTCCTCATGTGGGAGTTTAGTTCAATATATGAAAGGCATTGTTAATTACAGTGTGGGGAAATCAGTTTAGGAATTAGATGTAATTTTTTTTCAGTAGTACATTAAAATTAGTTAATGTGCTTAAACCATAGACAAAATATGTAATTGGTGATTGATTTCTTTACTATCAACTAGCGTAAATGCTCTTAAGTAACACAAGTAATATCATTTCTAAAATAAACTCCAAACCCTCTGGCCCATTAATGGTGCCAAATATTAACTGTGTATTTTTTTTTTTCATTTGGTCTTAATGTAAAACTAATTTTAAAAGGAATTCAAGAACAACCCAGTATGAATTTTGATCATTATAACCAGATTAGGAGAGATGCTGATGTACTGGACTATTAAACCAATGAACCAGGCTAATGTTGTGTGGGCATTAGTTCAATGTCTACCACAACAGCTGTTGGCATTTAAATTCAATAAGTAATCAGGAATATAAAGCTAGTGACCATGAAACTATTTTTGATTCTCATGAAAATCTATGTGGTTCACTAATATCTTTTAGAGAAAGAAATCTGTGATTTTTATCTGGTCTGGCTGATATGTGAATTGAGAAGTATCATATTAGACTTAATGTTAACTTTGCTTCTGTCTGCATAGATTCAGCCATACCTACTGAGTTTCTCCAGCATTTTCTTTTTTTATTTCAGGTTCCCAGCATCCACACTATATTGCAAATATCACACTTCAAATCTGTTTTGTTACCTATGTATCTACCTGGATAATGTGCTCAAGCCTCTGGACTACAACTTGAACGTGTAATCTTTTAATTTAGAGGCAAGAATGCTATTTATGCATCATATAAATGATGTGAGATTATCGGTTATAGCCAAAAAGTATTTTAGCACTCAACTAACCTTAACAAATCTAGTAAAATAATTGATTGTTTTCTCTTGCTTTGTAGCCACCTTCATGGCAGTGCTTCTGACATGGATGCTCTTAATCAACTCTTTCCATTGCTTCCCAAGTAGATGTTTGGAGGACTTTCTGCCCCAAGCAATGAAGGATGTCTATTTTTCATTCCACTTCCTGTACACAAGACTGAGAATCTTGGTTGCCAAGTGTTTCTTTTATTTAGTTATCCTTTCCAGAAATTATTGCAGTTTTTGCAGTGACAACACAGCTGTCGTTTGAGAGATGATGGCTGACTTCTAAGTGGTATCCTGGATTCCCAACATTACCACTAACCCTGCCCTTATCTTCCCCTTTCCAACAAGTATGCAGTCATCCTGAAGAAACATCATATCAAACTCAAAACATTACCCATGTTTCTCTCTCTGCTGAAGCTGCCAGTCTTGCTTTCTCCATTATTTTCTCTTTTGATTTCAGATTTCCAGCATCAGCAGTATTATACTTTTATTTAGCTGTTCTTTTAGATTTTGTTTTTAATAAGTATTCAGATTATCTAACTGAATTATGTTCTAGTAAGATAGAGACTGATTGTTTAAATTTACCATTAAAATACGGTTTTCTTCACTCAAATGCACTAAGACATTATTTGCCTATCTATATAGAATGTTTATCTTTTAAAAATTAGTTCATGGGACGCAGGCATCCTGGCTGAGGCAGCATTTATTGCCCATGCTTAATTGTCCAGAGGCCATTATGGGATAATCACATTGCTATGGGTTTAGAGTCATGTAAGTCAGACCCGATAAGATTGGCAGATGTCTATCCTTAAGGACATGAGTGAACCAGATGGATTTTTAATCACGTATTTGACATATAACCAGCTTTTTATCCCAGATTATTAATGAATTCAAATTTCACTATCTGTTATAATATGTTACAGACCCATATCCCCAGAACATTGACCTGTGATTCTGGATTACTAGTCTAGTGAGATTACTACTGTGCTACCATCTCCCCTCTTATTCATGTTGCACTTCCTCTTTACAGTATCTGTAGTGATTGTAACAAGGTCAGCCAGCTGGACATCATAGAAAATGAGTTCCCTGTTTGGGGCTGTTAATCTGGTCCAATCAGGAAGCCCTGGCTGACAGATAAAAAGAGAAATTTCAGAGATTCTGGCACTCTGTGTGCTGACTCTAATTAGGCTGTGCCAAAGTTAAGGACATTACACGTATAAATAAAGAGCGACTTGGTGACGGGATACCGGCATCTGTGAGTTACTTCAGTAGCAATGAGACTTAAACAGATTCCTGAAGAAACTTGCTTGCAACAGTTGTCTTTGAGTGGGGTAAGCATTTTTGCATTATGCCATTATTTGGCAAGCTTGACTTGTTCGACTCTGCCATCGAAGAATGGGCCCAGCATGTGGAAAGAATGCATTATTTTTTCCGGGCAAACGATATTGGGGCAGATGAAAAGCAACAATTAATTCTCCTCACAGCTTGTGGATCCGCACCTTTTTCAATTATTAGCACCCTAACTTACCCTGAGGCATCAGATACTAAAATTTTTCATAAGTGGACAGATTTAGTTATGACTCCAAGCCTCCTTCAACACTGAGATACTATTGTTTTCACTTTGCAATTCAAGAATCAGGTGAATCCATGCCAGGATTTTTGACGAGTTTAAGGTGACTGGCAGATGCATTTGACTTTGGTTTATCCCTTAATGAGATGCTTAGAGACCGGTTGCTTTGTGGGATTAATGATGTAACCATGCAGAAGAACCTACTATCTGAAGCCCAATTGGACTGCAAGCAGGCACTACAATTGGCTTTATCATTGGAGAATGTAGCAAGTAAAACATATGAGTTGCAGGATATTCAAGGATATACATCCTATTGAAAAGATAGGCAGGTGGGCAGAGGGGGTGGGGTTGTTTTATTAGTAAGAAATGAAATTAAATCAACAGTAAGAAACGAAGTAGGGTCAGATGGTGTAGAATCTATGTGGGTAGAATGAAGGGACAGCAGAGGTAAAAAAAATCCATAGTTGGAGTTATGTACAGCTCTCTAAGCAGTAGTCAGGAGCTGGGGTGCAAGATACACCAGGAGATAGAAAAGGTGTGTAAGAAAGGCAGTTACAGGGATCATGGGGGATTTCAATATGCAGACAGATTGGGAAAATTGTGGATTGCAAGAAAAGGAATTTGTGCAATGTCTACGAGATAGCTTTTTGGAGCAGCTTGTGGTGGAGCCCACTGGGGAACAGGCAATACTGGATTTAGTGTTGTGCAATGAGGCAGACTTGAGAAGGGACCTTAAGGTGAAGGAACCCTTAGGAGGCAGTGATCATAATATGATTGAATTTACTCTGCAATTCAAGACGGAAAACATAAAATCAGAGGTAACGGTATTACAGCTAAATAAGGGCAACTACAGGGGCATGAGGGAGGAGCTGGGCAGAATTGACTGGGAGAGGAACCTAGCAGGGAAGACAGTGGAACAGCAATGGTGGGAGTTTCTAGGAGTAATTCAGGAGACATAGCAAAAATTCCACCCTAGAAAAAGAAGCTTGATAAAGGGAGGATGAGGCAACCATGGCTGACTAGGGAAGTCAGGGATGGCATGAAAGCAAAAGAGAACATATATAATGTGGTGAAGGGCAATGGGAAACCAGAGGATTGAGAAGCTTACAAAGACCAACAGAGGGCAACAAAAAAAAGAAATAAGGAAGAAGAAGATTAAATATGATGGTAAGCTAGCCAGGAATATAAAGGAGGACTGTAAGAGTTTCTTTAGATGTATATAGGGCAAAAGAGAGGCAGAAGTGGACATTCTAGAAAATGATGCTGGAGAGATAGTAGTGGGGAATATGGAAATGGCTAAGGAAATGAATAATTACTTTGCGTCAATCTTCACAGTGGAAAATGCAAGTAATATCCCAAAAATTTAAGAGAGTCAGAGGCAGAGCTGAGTTTGGTGGCCATCACCAAGGAGAAAGTGCTAGAAAAACTGAATGGCCTGAAGGTGGATAAATCACCAGGACCAGATGGACTACACACCAGAGTTCTTAAGGAGATAGCTGAAGAGATAGTGGAGGCGTTAGTGGTGATCTTTTATGAATCTCTAGAGTCAGGGAGGGTCCCAGAGGACTGAAAAGTCATTAATATGACATCCCTGTTTAAAAAGGGAATAAAGCAAAAGACAGAAAATTATAGGCCGATTCGCCTAACCTCAGTCGTGGGTAAGATTTTGGAGTCCGTTGTGAAGGATGAGATTTCTGAATCCTTAGAAGTGCATGGTAAAATCGAGCAAAGTCAACATGGCTTCATCAAAGGAAAGTCATGCCTGACAAATCTGTTAGAATTCTTTGAGGAAGTAATGAACAAGTTAGACCAAGGAGAGCCAATGAATGTCACCTACTTGGACTTCAAGAAGGCCTTTGAGAAAGTGCTGCACAGGAAGCTGCTGAGTAAAAGAAGGGCCCGTGGTGTTAGAGGCAAGGTGCTAGCATGGATACAAGGTTGGCTGTCACGCAGAAAGCAGAGAGTGGGGTTAAAAGGGTCTTTCTCAGGATGGCAGCTGGTGACAAGTGGTGTTCCGCAAGGGTCAGTGTTGGGACCATAACTTTTCACTTTATACATTAATGATCTAGATGAAGGAGATGAGGGCATTCTGGCTAAGTTTGCAAATGATACAAAGATAGGTGGAGGGACAGGTAGTATTGAGGATGTGGGGAGGCTGCAGA